CTAATCAAATGAATCCCATACAAATCCATGCCAAATCCCATTCATCCCGTGACAATCCATAAACCCCTAGTATCAAATGAATCCCATTACAAAAAATCATGGCCAAATCCATTAATTTTCATCCCGTGAAAATCCATGAAATCCCACGAGATCAAATGAATCCCATGACAAATCATGCCAAATAATCCCAGTTCAGCCCGTAAAATACATGAATCCCACTAGAATCAATGAAATCCCATGAAATAGAACTATTTGAATCCAACGAATTTCTAAGATATCCCATCCTGGGCATTCCATGAAACTCCCAGGCTTCCTTCGCAGCTTATGGCGTGGCAACCATCCAACAGCCTAGGGGCAGCAAGACAGCCCCAAAGGTTGATCATAGAGTAGAATGTGAGGCCCCCAAGATAGCTACCCTCTGGTAATTTAACAGTTTGCTATTGAACATGGCCATTTATAGTGAGTTTTCCCATTAAAAATGGTGATTTTCCATAGTTATGTATGTTAGTTTACCAGAGGGTAAGTTGGTGAACATAACTCCAATAACTATGATTTATGGTACTTGTAGCTATAGTTAATGGGGTTTATAAATCAATTTATGACTAGGGGGCCCCATCATATTTATGTACCATCATATTTTGGGTCTTATCAATGGCCATGTCAGGAACTAATTTATTGGAGGTACCTACCATCTATTTTTGGCCTAGTTGAAGGCCTATGTAAGGGAATATCCCCACAAAATATGGTCTTTTATGGTACAGTACCTCCATTTTAGGATCTTGAAATTCCCATTGATTTTATTTGACTTTAGTCATCCAAAATTTGGGAATGACATATGAATGAATTCATTGATCAATGATGGTTGATGGTTATAGTCGCTTAATAGGGCCTTTAACCATCAAAATATGCGGATAGAAGTGATATAATTGACAAACGATGGATGATACTCCATTATGGGAAATCCTGTTGCCCAACCAGTACAAAGGGACAACAAAGGGTTTTGAACACTGCTCAAATGATTCACAATGGCTGTTAAGGTCTTAGATTATGCATGAACAAACAGATAAATTTATTCAATTTGTGCCGTAACGATCTTTGTTAAATGGCTTATCCCAATTTGCGCCTTCGGGGCACTCTCCACATGTTCATTGCTTCGGTGACGTGCCAATGAAATTCAGGATTGCAACACAACACAGCTGGTTGATGTTTTTTTCCATGATGGTCCCAATCTTACTGTTGCTTAGCAGGGAATGAGGGAATGATCCATAATCACTAGATATCACTATAGTAATAATCATCCCAGCAACCTCCATTCCCAACCATTCCCTACTAAGCACCAGTAGGACCGTGAAGGTCTTTCAACCGACCGAGGGTTGCTTTCTGGTACTTTTCCGTGCGACGCTGCCAAAGCAAGAATCAAGAGAATCAAGCGCAAGCGGCTTGGAATCTTTCGAGTGACCGGTTTTGTTGGTGTCGTTTCGTCGGGAAACCAAAAATACCTGGAATGATGCTTCGGCGTCGGGGATTTATCATTTTTTTTTAATCATGATTTATCATGAATTGTCATGATTTATCGTGAATTATCATGAATTATCGTGAATTATCCCAACAAAAAGCCGAACTCTTCGGGTTTCGTGAGCCATTTGTTCATTGACCCATAAAACTACACGTCCTTGCCATGTGTGACATCGCTGCCAGAAGGTTTTCAGTGCCTCCTCCGGTGTCTCACAGTGGTAGATGCCCCAGGAGTCACAAGTTAGTTCGGGGATTGCCCAACCAGCTGGGGCTCCAGTTCATCCACACTAGGTGATCTGATCTTTTGGGGTCCAAAAAATCCACTCAAATCCCCAGAAATTGATGGTTATGGTCGGTTGAACTCTAATTTCTTCATGGGTAAACTAGCTTCAACTCTCATTCCAAATGATGTTGAAACTAGGTTAAACAATGAAACTCTGATTAATTTTTATGATTGGACTAGTAGTGAAACTCTGATTTCTTCCTGGGAAATTCTGTAAAGGCCGAAGTCTTTCAAATTGCTGAGTTACCTTCTGGTAAACGTTTACATAACTATGGGAAAATCCACTATTTCTATAGCCATTTTCAATAGCTATTTCTATATGTTTACCAGGCCGGGTAAGTCATATTCATCCCAAAAAATCAGCCATTATCAGTTCATTATCAACCATCATTAAACATTATTATAATGGATATTTTCATGGATATTGGATATTAATGGAAATTAACGGATATCAACGGATATTTTCATGGATATTATAACGGATATTTTCATGGATATCAAACCACCATGACCAGGCCGGGTATGTTGAACTGGTTTCGGGGCTTCGTTGACCCATCGTGGCTCGATCTCTGAGGATTTCACCATTCTGGTTCTAACGGAGGCCGCGGGCTCGGCGTTGGCGTAGCGTTGTCGGCGTTGTCGGTTCGATGTCCTGGAAGTTGAGGGGATCAATGGGATTTTATGGTGGTTTAATGGGATTTAATGGTGGTTTATGGTGGTTTAATGGGATTTCATGGGATTTGATGGGGTTTGATGGGATTTCATGGGATTTCATGGGATTTAGCCTCTGGTAAACACGCAACAAGCGAAGTGGAATTCATCAACGATTCTCTATTTCTTTTAATTTTTGTTTCTCAATTACCCTTCTGGTCATGTGACATGGCGCCACCATTTGGCTCTATGAGTGGACGTGACATGGCGCCTTCATTTGAGCGGTGTTCAAAACCCCTGCTGGTTGATGATTCGTTGGGGGATAAAAAAAACTTTACCCTTCATATATATATATATATATTGGTGATTATGAAACTGCTATTTCATAATCACCCACTAGCCATTAGCCTTCATTAATATTGGTGATGATTTCAAACGGGGAATCCCGTTCTGAAAAGCAGACACCAAACTGGGGATTCATACTCGATCTGAGGCTCTTGGGATGGATCTTACCCATAGGGAGTAGCCGCTAGGGTAATTACCTAAAGTGGAGTTTTCCTAAAATGATAGATCCCCAAATCATCCAAAATTTACCTGGTAAACGTTAACAACCATAACTATGGAAAATCACCATGCTATTAATGGGAAAATTCACTATACATGTTGATTTTTCCATAGTTTTTTGTAGGTTTATCAGGCCGGGTACCCGGCCTGGGAAACATGGCCAAAAAGCGATGCTATGCAAAATGGCCATAGAAAGTTCGGCTGCTTTACCACGCAAAATAGCATGGTGATTTTCCATAATAATGTGGTTAAATCAATGTGGAAAATAGTTATCACTAATGTTAAATAATTTAGTTTAACCATCATTGTGATAATGTTAACCACATGTTAGTTTATCACTAATGTGGTTAAAACAATGTCATAAACTACCCGTGACTGGGAATGGTAAACATAGCACCTATGTATTTATGGTGATGACTGGGGGATGGTGCAAATGATATTGTTGTAGCCACATTACTCGATTTGCCTAGATTCATGCGCGGGCATGTGTGTTTCTGTGTTCACATGTCAAAATCCTAGCTTGACTCATTTTTTTCGAAAAAAAACATCAGTTTCATCCTAACTTGACCAGTCTTTGACTCAAAATCCCAACTGGATTCAAAATCCAACAAACCGACCAGAGAGAATCCTAACTCGATCTTGCCTTTTTGTTCCACTGAAAACAGCTTTTCCCATCACAAAACCTCAGCATTTCACGTATTTCAGGCGCTTCTGGCGACGCACTATGGAGTGATCTACCTATTGGCCGTCTTCGGTTGTATATCTTGGCAATATGCTGCTTGGCACATGGCACATGGATGTGTTGCAAGGGGCTGATGATTGGCTTGTCACTTCTGGGATTTTTAGCATGTTTAACCATGAGCATATGGGGGATACAAGTGATAAAACATGATAAAACTGATAAATGATGGTTGTTTGATGTTGATTGATGATTCATTTGGGGATGATAATATTAGCCAAGATCAATCAGGGATTATCTTAATCAGCGGGAAACCCCGCTACCAGCTGGGTGAATTCGCTTATTGACTGGGGGAATCATCCCTGGCCATGGCTGGCCAGCGGCTGGATGTCCTCTTTCCCTTGGTTGAGGAGTTTGACGGGCTCTCCCGTCACACTCATTAGATACATGATTAAAAGAACACTGATAATCAAACACATTGTGATTTTTTAACCCACTCAAACACATTGTGATCATTCACCCACTTACCAGACTTACCACAAAAATGATGATGAATGATCAACTGCTTGGTGGTTTGGAACATGATTTTTTTTTCCCCCATCATATTGGGAATGTCATCATCCCAACTGACGAACTCCATCATTTTTCAGAGGGGTGGCGAAAAACCGCCAACCAGTCAATGTTTTTGAGAATGGGTGATCATTGAGTGGTCTATTTGGTTCTCCACTTTCTGCAATTTTGGACCATTTTGGACCCATTCAGCGGCACATGGACGTCCGAAAAAACCTTTCAAAACCTTTCAGGTTCGGTCGGTGATTCGGTGATAGGCTACGAATCTGGGATTTTGCAGGCATCATTGCATCATTGACAGAGGGTATATACGAAACAAAACAGAAAGAAACTTATTTGGGGCAATGACAATATCATTGTAGCCCGCTTGATATAGGTATTCACGGAAAAATTGAATGAGGATCAACCGCTATCGACTCAGATTGGGCGCAATAACTTCAATTGGTTGATGATTAGTTTGGGTGTTTTACGAGCCTTCACATCTTGGGAATTTAACATGATCCATGTTTTAGTGATTTCCCATTTCCGGTTTTTCACATTGCTTCTTGTTGTTGTTGGATGTTTTAAATTTCTGGATCTGTTCCGAAAAAAAGGGCAATGTTTGGCCGTCAGGACATTTTTTTCATTTGGGTTAGATGTTTTTTTTTGTTTTTCTGGATATCTTCCGGTGAGATGTTTTCGTCAGGAACATATCAAATTCTGGAGATGTTCCGAAACAATTGCCAATGTTTTCGTCAGGAACAGCTTGCCTATACTTATTCTGACATCTTTGCGAAGCTCTTCCATTCCATCTACTTGGTCTCCTCCCGCCGGAGACGAAATCTTCTCTTGCTCGAACAACTCCGTGGCGTGGCTAGTGAGCGGCTAGCGGTAGCCGTGGAGAAATCCAAATCGCTTTGGGTTGGGCCATTTATGGGGTGTTTCATGGTTTCCATAGTCAGGGGGATACCCTAAAATGCATGATTTATATGGGAAAATCATGGAAAATCCATCTATAAATTTTATAAATGGATGAGGACTGGGGGTAACCCCCCATGGATTGGAAACCTCCAAATAGGGAGGATGTAAATTGTGGGAAATCTTGGGAAGCCAGGAAATAGAGGGAAGATGAGATGGAAGATCATCAAACCTGAGGATTTTGATGCGGTGAAGCGGCTCAAAGGAACCCATGCCATAAATATATAAAGACTCTGGTGATAGCTTGCCTCACTGGATTGGTTTAAGGGACAATTTTAACCGGAAACCATAGTTTTTACCATCAAATATAGGGCTTTCCTGTGAATTGTCCCATAATCCAATTCTATGATTGCCATTTTTGTTAAACCAGCCATGTCTCATCATCAAAGTTTTCTGTCTTATTACATACTAGAAGATGGCCATGGCGCCGGTTTTCATTGTCTCAGTTTAACATGTTCAATAGATCAATTACCCTTTGGTTATTTAACATAGCCATGGAAAATGGTCCATTTATAGATGGTTTACCTATTAAAAATGGTGATTGTCCATGGCTATGCTAAATAACCAGATGGTATATATTCCTGGAATCCTATTCTTGATTCTCCCATTAAAAACATTACAAATCAGTCTGGGTTTTCCCTGTGATTGTTTTAACCTTTTATTTCATTCATGCATGGCTTGATGGTTATAATCATAACCATCCCTATTTGTCAATGGGAATTTCAGGATCCTAAAATGGAGGTACCTACCATATATAAGGCCTAGTTGAAGGCCTATGTAAGTGAATATCCCCACAAAATATGGCCAAACATATGGTACGGTACTAACGTACCTCCATGTATTGGATCCTGCTGGTTTGGAACCATGGATTTTTTTTGACTTTCCCATCATATTGGGAATGTCATCATCCCAACTGACGAACTCCATCATTTTTCAGAGGGGTGGCCAAAAACCACCAACCAGATCATACTTTTGTAATTACCCTCTGGTAAACCTACAAAAAACTATGGAAAATCACCATTTCCAATGGGTAAATCCACTATAAATCACCATTTTCAATAGCTATTTGTATGTTTACCAGAGGGTACCAAGTTTTGGGCCATATTTTATGGGATTCCCATGGGTACCAACCAGATCATAACCATCCCCATTTGACCACCTCAGAAGCTGCAGCTTAGGCGCTGGGTCGCAGCTCGCGGCATCGGATTTGCAACGGATGATCTCCTTTGCAAATGCGACTCAGTCGTAAAAACAAGGGGAAATCTGGATCAAACACCTATGAAAAACGTGGAATATGGATCAATATGGTTTGTATAGCTGGGAAATTCATCTAAATCAATGGGAGATCTCCAGGATCCGATTTAATGGAGGTACGTTACAAGTACCATATGTCTGGCCATATGAATTAGAATTGTTGGGATACCCTGAAATTTAGGCATTCAACTAGGCCAAGAATAGATGGTAGGTACCTCCAATAAATCGGTTTCTGAGATGGCCAGTGATCAGTTGTAAAAAAGGGCCCCATCCTGATAGACACGGAGGAACCTCTCCAAGTTCAGACAGTAGATGGCCTGTTTATCCTATTTCATGTGGGTAAAGCAATGTCATAAACTAGCCATGACTGGGAATGGTTTATGCCACCTATATATATTGTGATTTTGGGGATGGATTATGATTGTTTCACCCACATGAGTGATTTTCCATAACTATGGTGTAGATGGCCTAATCAATAGTGGATTTTGCTCTTAGAATGGTGATTTTCCATAGCCATTTTGGGTTACCAGAGGACAACCCTCAAGAATATTGGTGGGATACATACCGGAGATATATATGATGTGAAGTCACATCTGGTGATTTTACTAACAAAAATCGAGGTATATACAGATGGGATATATGATGACAAATGGCTGTATATATATATGATATGAATGGCCCATTTATAGATGATTTTCTCATCAAGGATGATTGATTAGTGGTTAATGCTGGGCTTTAAGTTTATTTGACCATTAACCACGAACTAAACAACGGGTTTAACCACCAAAACATGGGTTTCAACTGCAAATGAAGGTGTGTAGCTCAGCAAACCATGACCTATGGAGATATAACTCACCAAAAATCAAACGTCGCCGCGAAATCGGGAAATTCTCTACATTGCAAATAGAGGTTTATAGCCACTTACATCTGAGAAAACATCTGAAAAAACTGGGGAATTGTCCAGTAAGCCTTGGAGTTGATTCCCTGAGGGTAAGTTGGCTTACTTACCCCATCTAACTATGTTTTTTTGTCACCATCACCTCAGGGTAACTTTAGTTAGTAGCCACTTCAGGTACCGATTTATTGGAGGTACCTACCATAAGGCCTTAATTTCAGGGGATATACACCCAAAATATGGCCAAACATATGGTACTAGTATACCTCCATTTTAGGATCCTGGAATTCTCATTGAGTTAATGATGATTAAGGATGATTGATGATTGATTGATGATTAATGGGACTATTTATTATGATTAATGATGATGAATGAACCGGGGCAGCACCTGGCATCAGCATCGGATGAATCCAGGACAATCCTCTCATCAATCAGCGACATGGCCTTGTTCAACAACAACTGGGATCTAAGGAAGGATGAGGAGCAGGTAAATATCAACATATATCAACATCAACTGTCAACTGCTACTGGAAAATTCGTTCCGAACTCACCTTAGTTAATAACTAGTAACCTTGGGTTAGTTCCTAACATCTAGTATTTAACCATGGTTGTGAAGCACTTAAACCCGCATCTCTCGTTTCAATCTATGCGCCTTCCGAAACTTCCGAATTTCGAGGTACCGATTTTCTGCGTCAACAAGGAGTTGCGCATTGAGGAGTGGAATCAGAAGATTGAACAGCTCACAGGCAGCAAGGGACCATGGGATGATGATGGGATGATGGATCCGTGGAAACAAATGGCTGGCACGGAGAGAGAGACATGGAGAGAGGTTCTGCGACGCTGAGAGAAAAATATATTAATAGGGTGCTGTATTTATAAACACATTACATGACTTATATAGATCCAGATGTATATAACTTGTTTGATAAAAATTATCACCTCTTGGGGTAGATGTTTCAATCAGAAATTCACATTGAAATCCTCCACGCCTGGCAGGCGTTAGTAAAGCTGATGCCTTGAACCGTTTTCTGCCCGTATCTTCGTCGAGCTTGGTGAAATGGGTTACGGGAATCGCAGGATCCTATGGAGCTACGATGTACCCTCTGGTAAACATACAAAAAACTATGGAAAATCACTATTTTTAATGGGTAAATCCACTATGAATGGCCATTTTCAATAGCAAACTGTTAGTTTACCGGAGGGTATTAAGTTTTGGGCCATATTTTGTGGGATTCCTATGGGTTGAAATGTAGCCCAAGGGGGCCTTGTTGGAGGGTCAGGAGTTGGAGGTGAAGTAACGCCTGGAAACTTCCTATAGAAAAAAAAACATGGGAGGCTGTATCGGAAGATCATCGAACGGAACATGGGAGATCTTCAGGATCAAATCCCTATGAAAAATACGGCATATTATTGGTTTAGAGCTGGGAAATTCATCTAAATCAATGGGAGATCTCCGGGATCCGATTTAATGGAGGTACTCGTACGTTATATAGTACCGGACCATATTTTGGGCCATATGAATTGTGGGTATATTCCCTTCAGCTAGGCCTTATGTATTATATATGGTAGGTATCTCCAACAAATCGGTTTCTAAAATGGCCATTGAGAACATGGAAGATTTATGACGATTTTCCATTGCTATGTTTGAGTTCCGCAGGGTACTTGGATTAAAAAAATGATTTTATGGATCCGTCTGAAGGGGATAATTGCTATTTTCCTCTTGGTTAGTACATGATTTGGGGAATCCCTGGTTTGGTTTTCATTTTTGGACCATTTGAAGCACATATCAGTACTAGGAGATGGTCATCAATCCATTTTCATATGGATTTGTGTCCCCATGATAAGGAATGTCAGATAATTCTGTGATGAGCATCAACCGCAAACCATGTTTTCACCATGACGCAGCATGACGCATGGGGTTTTATAACCCCCGCAAGTTAAGATATAACCGCTACATAACCATGTTTATCTATAGTTATATCGCCTATTTGTGGAACTGCACTGTGGTGGTCACCAGAGTTCTCTAAATCGTCACACCACGGTGCCGGAAATTGGCAGCGGATGGCTGTTGTTACTTAAGATGAAATCCGCAAACGCTTGAAACGCTTGAGACTGTAATGGAGGTTTCCCAAAATGGGTTTTCCCCAAAATCATCCAAACTTTCATAGGGTTTTTCCATAGTTTTTCCATTTTTTGAACCATCCAGCGAGCCGGCCTTTTTGTTCGAGTGCGGGTATCCCCATTTATGGAACCCATCTCTACTTGGTGGCTCATACCACTTAGTAAGTGGGTTATAACCCCAGTTATAAGTGGATTAAGTCTACTTATCCCATTTGTAACTGGGGTTATAACCCACTTACGATTCGTGGTATGAGCCACCAAGTATCCCAAAAGCTTCCGACGTTTGAGGAGTTCTACTCAAAACAATCAACGAACTGGTGGAATGATGCCGGGCGCTTGCTGCAAGACACCTTGGCCGGCCAAAACTCCGGCGTGGTGGAGCGCCATGCTGGCAGTTGTTGGAGAAGTTGGGGGAGGATGGACAGGATAACTATGGCCAATTATGGCTGGTTGGTGGTTTGGAACATTTCGTATGGGGTAATGATGGTTAATGATGGTTAGCAAGAGTACGGACATCACCGCAAAAAAAAATCACATGAACCAAAAACCTTGAGCAACCGCCCTGCGAAACAAGAGATGAATATGTCAAATACTTGGCGGGGAAAGTGACACAACGATGGTTGCATGCAACGGTTGGGCAAGCAAACTCATAATACAACATAATACAACCAACAACAATCAATGCACAACAAAAAGCAAGGAAAAAACAAAGGAATGACAGGAACAAATTAACACCAGAACCGAGCAATGACACAACGCAATTGCGTTCGGATCCCCGGATGTAAGTTGACGAAGACATACGATGACATTTGGGTATTTCATGCTGTTTCCACAACAAGGAAACAGCCCCCCCAGTCATCAGCTCGCGCATAAACCCCAGTAAATATACGGGCAGGACTGAGGGTTTGCCCGGAACGGAATGAGTGACGTCTTAAGGAGGCTCATTTCACTGCGCAGGCCCGTGTTTTATGGCTTTGGTACATCTTTGGGTTACTCTGTTCCACGTCAATTTGTTGGAAAAATCTGTCTGAAAAGTGAACCCTCTGCGGACTTCATGCGTGTCGGCCTTTTCCCGTTTTTCACTTTTTTGGCGAGTCTGGAGTGTTCATGTGGTATAACGGTATAACTTATATAAACCCTAAATGAAACTAACCCTAGTAATGTTGCGTCCTGATTAGTGTGTGGCCCCCCCCCCTCCCCTAAACTATTTCTGGACTCTCTTTAAAGTAGAAAGTCAAAAATTTTCTTCCCAAAAGAAAAACATATCCTCAATTAAGTAAGGATTTCAATTGGCTACAATTGAAATCTAATTACTATTGTTTTTTTTGCCGATGAAGTTGTGGTATTTGCAGTACTTGTAGTACTTGTAGTACTTGTAGTACTTGTAGTACATGTAGTACTTGTAGTACTTGTAGTACTTGTAGTACTTGTAGTACTTGTAGGACTTGTAGTACATGTAGTACTTGTAGTACTTGTAGTACTTGTAGTACTTGTAGTACTTGTAGTACTTGTAGTACTTGTAGTACTTGTAGTACTTGTAGTACTTGTAGTACTTGTAGTACTTGTAGTACTTGTAGTACTTGTAGTACATGTAGTACTTGTAGTACATGTAGTACTTGTAGTACATGTAGTACTTGTAGTACATGTAGTACTTGTAGTACTTGTAGTACATGTAGTACTTGTAGTACTTGTAGTACATGTAGTACTTGTAGTACATGTAGTACTTGTAGTACTTGTAGTACTTGTAGTACTTGTAGTACATGTAGTACTTGTAGTACTTGTAGTACATGTAGTACTTGTTTAGAATTGTTAATAGTAATTGTACTTACACATTCTTTAATAAGGGTTTAATAAGGGATTGGTTCTTTTGGGAAAGGCTTGGAGTTTGAATTTGGCAATTTTGGAAAAGGCTTGCTTCCCTTCTGGGCTTCGAGGGGCTGCTCTGGCACAGCTTGCTGCAATAGTGAACCCAGCAAACAAACCTACTAAAGTGAAATGGAGCCTCTCCTGGTCCAGGGCCTTGGAAAATTGTGGAAAAGCTGTTCTTTAATAAGGGTTTATTAAGGGATTGGCTCCTTTGGGAAAGGCTTGCAGTTTGATTATGTCAATATTTGGGAAAGGGCTTGCGTCCCTTGCAGCGTGCTGCTCTGGCACAGCTTGCTGCAATGTGAACCCATCAAACGACCTACTAAAGTGAAATGGGGCCCTCTACTGGTCCAGGGCCTTGGAAATTGTGAAAAGCTGTTCTTTAATAAGGGTTTTAATAAGGGATTGGTTCTTTTGGAAGGCTGCAGAGTTTTTGACATTTGGTCAATTTTGTAACATGGCTTGCTTTCCCTTTCTTCATGGCTGCTCTGGCCAGCCTTGCGCCCATCGTTAAACCCTGCAAACAAACCTACTAAAGTGAAATGGGGCCTCTACTGGTCCAGGGCCTTGGAAAATTGTGGGAAAGCTGTTTTTTAATAAGGGTTTAATAAGGAATTGGTTCTTTTGGGAAAGGCTTGCAGTTTGAATTTGGCAATTTTGGAAATGGCTTGCTTCCCTTCTTCAGGGGCTGCTCTGGCACAGCTTGCTGCAATAGTGAACCCAGCAAACAAACCTACTAAAGTGAAATGGTGCCTCTACTGGTCCAGGGCCTTGGGAAATTGTGGGAAAGCTGTTCTTTAATAAGGGTTTAATAAGGGATTGGTTCTTTTGGGAAAGGCTTGCAGTTTGAATTTGGCAATTTTGAAAAATGGCTTGCTTCCCTTCTTCAGGGGCTGCTCTGGCACAACTTGCTGCAATAGTGAACCCAGCAAACAAACCTACTAAAGTGAAATGGGGCCTCTACTGGTCCAGGGCCTTGGAAAATTGTGGGAAAGCTGTTCTTTAATAAGGGTTTAATAAGGGATTGGTTCTTTTGGGAAAGGCTTGCAGTTTGAATTTGGCAATTTTGGAAATGGCTTGCTTCCCTTCTTCAGGGGCTGCTCTGGCACAGCTTGCTGCAATAGTGAAACCAGCAAACAAACCTACTAAAGTGAAATGAGGCCTCTACTGGTCCAGGGCCTTGGAAAATTGTGGGAAAGCTGTTCTTTAATAAGGGTTTAATAAGGGATTGGTTCTTTTGGGAAAGGCTTGCAGTTTGAATTTGGCAATTTTGGAAATGGCTTGCTTCCCTTCTTCAGGGGCTGCTCTGGCACAGCTTGCTGCAATAGTGAACCCAGAAAACAAACCTACTAAAGTGACATGGGGCCTCTACTGGTCCAGGGCCTTGGAAAATTGTGGGAAAGCTGTTCTTTAATAAGGGTTTAATAAGGGATTGGTTCTTTTGGGAAAGGCTTGCAGTTTGAACTTGGCAATTTTGGAAATGGCTTGCTTCCCTTCTTCAGGAGCTGCTCTGGCACAGCTTGCTGCAATAGTGAACCCAGCAAACAAACCTACTAAAGTGAAATGGGGCCTCTACTGGTCCAGGGCCTTGGAAAATTGTGGGAAAGCTGTTCTTTAATAAGGGTTTAATAAGGGATTGGTTCTTTTGGGAAAGGCTTGCAGTTTGAATTTGGCAATTTTGGAAAATGCTTGCTTCCCTTCTTCAGGGGCTGCTCTGGCACAGCTTGCTGCAATAGTGAACCCAGCAAACAAACCTACT